AGTGCATTATGAATAACCATGAAAAAAGCTACAAAAAATCTGCTTGTATAAATCCTTAATAGGCTTTTTGCGGAGATTTTTTTTCCTGTACATTTATGTCTAATTAAATAAGTATTATTATTATCATTAAGCATATTTAAGTATTTTCTTCTAGTGCCTAAGCAGCTACATCGATTAATATTGGGACATGGGTTAATAACCACTTTACTTAATTAAGGCAAAATCAAAAACCCAACTAAAGGCAACACGCATCGAGTAAAAATTCACAAAGGCTTCAACAAAGAATAAAAGTAATGTAAATTTGAAGTATAATGGAATTTAGTTCCAATGAATTCATACATTCGCGTCGTTCAAGTTTCAACAATTTTATTTGCTGAAATTATCATAAAAGTATTCGTCTGGTAAAATTCTTAACGCTGTGGATGATTTACTGAGCAGCTCTACTTTACATTTTATCTTACGAAGTTTGCCATATATTTATGAAAGTGTTGGATTGAGTTGGAATGTTATGTCAAAGATTGTTATTTTTATTTCTGTTGCATTTGGAAGTGATTATTTTAAGATACTTAGGAAGGAAATATTTAAGGTTAATTTTCCATACTGCTTAATTAATTTACTTGCTTAAGCTTAGCTCAGAATTAGTAAATATATCTGAACAAGGAAAAGGTATGGGTGACTTTGTCATTGTTAGACGTTAATTATCTTAATTATGTTTGCGCCTTTTGAAAATCACGTTTAAACATAACAGTCAAATACGTATTTTTTTCACAGTTTTATGATTAATTCCACAGTTGATCAAATATATTTTTCTTTCATAAATTTCGGGTTTTTAGTTGATGATCGGCTAACTAATTTTTTTATTGTTCTTCAAGAGCAGAAAAGAATAAGATAATTAAACGGCTCAAAAGAAGGTTCGATGAAGAAGTGAAAGTTGGTTTTGAAAGATTTTATGTATTTAAAGATGAAGCTAATATGGAAATTAAGCTTAGGTCGTTATTTTATGATTTAGGCATTTATTGATTTACTAGATATAATTTAATGTTGAAAGTAATGAACTAATGCTATTAAAACGATAGTTTAAAACCAAAATATTGCTAGTTTTTCGCAGCTAGTTTAAGATCATACAAGCGTTTATTTTGAAATTGCTTTCTTACTCAAAAAAATAAACAAAAATGAACAGCTAAACAGTAATTTATATTAATCTTAAACGTGGTCTGTAAGGTTTCGGTTTTGTAGCCATTCTCTAAAATTCCGATTGGCCTATATGACGCGATGCATGCAAACTTGAGAAACTGGAAAGGAAAACTTAAACTGGAACTAAATACGATTGTATTAAATTGGCAGTAAAAATTAGTAAAACTCTGGAAAACGTTTCCAAAAATGGTTCAAATATATGTGAATTCATGGTTATAAATTATCATCTTATTCCCTTTAAATCTGATATTTTTTCCAGAACAAAGTTTAGCTTCATAACTAAACAACAGTAAATTATTGTCCTAATTCTTCTAACAGCTCCGTTGAAATTAGTTTAAAAGCTTTTAACATATTTTTAGGTCCTCGACAAAAGCTCTTTTGAAACACCTCATACAGTTTCCTCTATTTCCTCGCTCTGATAAGATATACGATCCAAACAAATTATCTATCCCAGATATTTACTCTGAAGTGGGGGCAATATTCTTTCCGATATATTTGAAATAACACAAACCGCTATATCAATTCCGTTTCGGGCCGAAAACGGCAAACCTGACACCTGCTCCTATAAGAAAATTGGATTTCCCCATTTCTTCGTATACAGGGTTATTCACGCTATACGGCACGGAAGTTTGCGGCTAAACCGTTTGATTTTTTTAAAGTATTATTTTATGAACTGTCCGACACCTACCGAGCACACATTTTAAAAATATTTCTGTAATGTACAGGGTGTCCCAAAAGCCCTAAAAGTATCAAAGTTGTGTTTTTCTAAATGAAATACCCTATATATTATTGCATTTTTGGATTCGCTGAACAAAATAAGTGTTTGTTTTAATAAGATTTATAATGTCTAAATCTAAAGGTTTTTTAAATAATTCGAATTTTATCAAAATCTAATATTATT